TTATATTGTCAATCAACCAATCGTTTATATAGCACCAATATCCATAGTGCGAGATCAATGTTCAGTTTTTGCTTATTTACAGAATTTTTGGTAAAACAAATTGATTAATTTAAAGGTCTATGGAACAAAGTATATTTGTTTATATACTTGTTACTTGACAAAGAATATATATTTTCTTCTAATTATTAATATAAAGCTTATAACTTAGATATGCTATACAAATAATATTAAGCAATTTAAATATTAATTGATTATTACCTTAACTCAGACACTATCTTAAATATTATGGTTGGTTGGTACAGCCCTGTCATGACTGACAGCTCATGACTCTAGAGGTATAGTGCCAAACCAGACGATATTCTGCAAGAATCAAAGAAGACACCTAATAATCGTTTTATATGTTGTTTAAATTATATAGCAACATATAGAATAGTTATATAAATAATGTAATGCTAATAGGATTTAATCCTAATAGTCTCTATATATCTTGTGGTTGATATAAATAATCAAAAGCTGTATACAGAATTTTTAATTACAGGTTTATGTCTGCCTACATTTTGGTTCATATGAAAGGAGATTAAATTAGGCATATCTATTCAACTTCTCGTCTAGCCTAGAAATCCTGTCCCACAATTTACTTGCACTTCCGTTGGCTTCTGGAGCTCACTCCACCTCTACAATCTTACAATTATATAGGTTAATGTGTATCGATGTCTAAAAGTAAATAAATTGTTAAATTATATCTAAAGGCGTAAAATTATATAGAAGATTTTAAGTGATTTGATAGATTTATTTAAATACCAAGAGAGAAGATTAAACAATGAATTTTATTTTCTATCTTGAGATCAAATCTTTTGAGACTTTTTCTTTGTTGGAAGTGTCGAGATTAAAAGCAATATGGGAAATAAAATAATTTGTATTCAAGCCCGAAAAGCATGTTATTAATAGAAGGATTGTTTAGTGGTGTTATTCAATTTAGTCACTGTAATTCAAAGCTGATGTAACATGAAGGCGTGTCTTTGAATGTCCAGCGGCATCGTGGTGTTGGTTGTACAATCCCTGCAGCAATTTGTGATATCACACCAGGTGATGCACATAAAACATGACCTGTTTTTCTCCTGAAATTTGACAATGACGAAGCAAAAAATTCCTTCACCTTAACCATGCATTGCTTTGTTTTGCCATCGAAGTCCCTGTTCAATGGACACAATAATTAAAACCATCCGATCCTATACCTGAATGATGTTCCCCCTAGGATTTACCCAACATTTACGATCTCTATCACTGCGATGGAGTTACATCTGCGATGGAATTACACTATCCAGTCAGCTAGTTTTCCATGTTTTCCCACAGTCGGGATACACTGGTCACACCGTTGCATGGATGACGTTTCTGGTTTGTTTCAGTGACTGCGCGTTCACCTGTGGCGACCAATACATGCATGAATGAGATGCAGGTTGCTGTGTCTGAAGAAGTTCCCTCTGGGAAACACACCGTCGCCATGTCTGTCACTCAGAAATGTTACCAACACGTTTAATGCCGCAATGAATACTACTTCGCAAGTTTTTTGATGGGTCCTAATTAAAAACAAACTGGTTCACTGTTGTTTTTGAATTGCTCAACAAATATAATAGCCATGTCCAAACATTTTTCATGTTAATTGTTAAAATGTTAAAATGATTTTTTTTTTTTATTTATTTTTTATTAAAAGGCTGGAGGGTTACTTATGAAAAATTAAACATTTACTTATATTTGAATCTGTTGCTCAGAGGTGTAAATACCGCCACCTAGCATGTATGTTTGAAGACGCCACATACAGGTAGTCTCAAACAGGTTAGGTGAAGACTCAAAAAATGTTATTTCTGTATTAGTTTCAATTGTTAATAATAATAATAATATTTATTTGGCAAAAAGCATATAGGAGAAAAACATCATGCATTGCCCCGATAGAGAATGGGCGAAATCCTGAACAATATTTGCTCCCTATCCTTCATATAAAATGAAATACACAAAAACAATCAGAACTAATCAGAAACATAAAATGAAATAAAATGCTTAATTAAATTATTCTTATAATGTTATAATAATTCCTTTAATAAGATTGATTTATATTTTTTAAAATATGACGCCAGTGAGAAAAGTATATACAACTATCTGAAAATACACAGAATACAACAAGTGAGTCTGACCTCAATTGGCTGGACAGGATCGCCAAAAAAATGAACTAAATCACTGGTCTAGTGGCTCTCCTAAATATGTCAATTGAAAATAATGAATATACATTGAATGAAGAGTTGGGAGAATGATTGAATTATTTGAAAATAGTACCTTGCGTAAATGATGTTATACTGTAATGACTTTACCAATGAATGCCCCAATTTAAATAATCACCCATTGAACAATATGTACACCCCCTCTTAAACATCATTTGGAATACATGCTTCAGAATTGTTTCTTTTTACTCACATATATTAGCTAAACACTATATCTTTAAGTCATAATGTCTGTCAAACAAGTTCTCTTATACTAAGTATTTTGACAAGAAAACTCAACTTGGAAATTGTTTTTATGAGAGCGCTTGCTCATTTTGTGTGTATACTTGTTAGCATTTTCTGTCTTAATGCTTGCACTTGGCAGACTTCTATGTCTACGTTGATTTAATTTCCTTTTCTACATTTCATTTTACTGTTTCAAATTCAAGTTCAGCATTCTAAATTATTTAATGATCACCTAGCGAATTGCCAGGTACTTTGTTGATTGTCCAACGTATGTTATCACGATTCTTGTGCTCTTTGCAGGGCTTGGATACCCTTGCTGACGGTATTATTTGTAGCAGAATCAAATGTTTCGGTCATTTCTTTGATAGTTTCTACTCATAGTCATCATAAGGCTTCCTCTGAGTCGTAAAATATCCATCTCCCAGGAGAGCAAATGTCGACTAGTGAGTTGCAATCAAAAATAGCTGTGATCACTGTAATATGCAAAGGCCAGGACCTGTAATTATATTATATGTAGGCGACATCTAAGTTTTTCTCTTGTATTGCAAGTTTAAAAAATGTTTTAAACTCTTCTCTGTGCTCCCTCTATTTCGAATTTCTGGATCTACCACTGGTATGAAATAAAACCATTACACAACAAACAAAAGAATCCCATATTATCGTCAATGCCAACATTGCAAAAGATAGATTATGACCAATTAGGGCTTGTTTTTCAGGTCCTGCTGATCTCTATCTGCAGAAATGTTAAGGCTCCTCTCTTGAACCCCAGTGAAAGACATATCCCCCAACATTTTTATGAATTGCAGTTCCCCATCATTTTGACCTCAAGTTAATTTTAGAATAATTAGAAAGCATGTCTGGAAAAAAGTTGAAATGACATTCAATGAAGATCACCAGAGAGATGTTGATGAGTAATCAGGTTAAATCCTCTAATGGATGTTGTGATATACAATACCTCCATGGATATTGTACTTAAAAAATATATGGATGAACTTTAAATAGAATATTCTGAATGAGGCTTGCCTTTCCGTACTGCCAATAATTGGTAAACTGGGTAATTACCAAACAATGTGGCAGTATTGTATACTTTAGTACATAGAAGCTTTAATACATTTACTCATAACTTTGGCAATATTAAGTCAATTTTAGTAAAGCTAAATTTGAAAGTTTATATTATGGAGAATAAGAATATTTTAAAAAGATATTTAAAAAAAATAAAAATATAAAAAAATAAAAATAAAAATATAAAAAATATTTTTAAAAAGAAAAATTTATTTTTTTTTTGGTCACTGATGCTGGTATTGGGATGGCAACCTCAATTTTTTCATCAAAAGATTTGTCATCAAGAAATGCAATATTCTACAGACATTTGCTATTGATCTTTTTTATTTACAGGTATTGTAATTTCTGTTGCAAATTGACAACAAAAGTTGTAATCATAGTCACCAACTTTAAGATTTGAATTCTACCAGGTTTTGTAGTGGTGGTGTCCACCCACCCCGCTTGTGCATTCTGGATATTTTGTTAAAGGTCTATAGCTGAATGCTACTTTTTAACATACTGCCCCATGTAGGTGTGAAGCCCTTTGTGTTGCAAACTGATTTCAACGTGTTTGTGGCTTTTATTCGTTAATGTGTAGTGAGAACTATGGTACAGGGTAGATGCCTAAAAATAAACGAACCATTGTTGCATACACAAACATTTTAAATTTATTTAATGTATTTCCAAATATATAATAACTTGCACAAGAATGTTTACTAATTTCTTTAAAAAAACATCTTATGTGAAAAATCTGGGAATCCATTAAATTTATTTTGAGCTGAGCATTGGCTGAGAGGTAATGTGCTGCTTCTTTGCTGAATACCTCAGTTCAAATCCTCAGCATTGGGCTTTATTTGGAGTTGGATCACTGAACTCCTCAAAAATAACCTTCGCATGAGAGTTAGGCGGGATAAAAGACATGACGGCACTGGCGCCGTACTACGACTGCCACGGATCCTCAGGAGCCCTGCTAAGTTTCTAATTCCAAATTTGGCAAACAAAAATCAAAAAGGAAAAAGAATGTAAAAAATCTTAGACAAACCATCTGCTATTATTCAATTCTGTAAAGGTGAAGCGATGATAGTTGCCAACTATGCTCAATTTAAAGAGTTCTCTTTCCGAGTTACAAAAATACTGATAGCATTTTTTCTTGTCTTAGAGGATTTTATCCGGTTGTCTAGAGGTGCCATATCCTTAAAGTGTTTTCACCTTCACTCAAACTAATCATATAGTCTAGCTTCTCACATTTGTGTGTCAGCCTGAACAGAACATGTATAGTCAGACTTTGATGAAGTAGATAATTGTCTGAAACCAGCATAATATCAGATAATGTCAAACCAAACATTGATGGAACATTAGTCTGACAGATATCTGATCTGAGTACATGCTTGTCTGAAGTCTGTCAAACAAAAGTAATATTAAAGAGAGATATTCATGAAAGTGACTCCTTGTTTATTACAGGTATCGTATCCTGTGAAAGTTATCCATCAACTCTCGTGCCTGAACCTGGTAAGCATTCTAATAAACCAGCGAATTTGCCGTTTGTGAAATGTATATTTAATATTATTTTTCATATTCTTTTTTTAACCAGCTACAGTGATTGATACTAACAGTGTGATTGACAATTGACGTAAGCCTGGTTCTCATGAGAGCCGTAGTATCTGGATCGGGAGCTAACTGTTAACGCTAACCGTTAGCACCTGTGTCAGAACATCCGATCGGTTAGCGCTAACCGTTAACGGTATCCGGATACCGCTAACGGTTAGCAAACGCTATCGGTAAGCAAGTTGAGCGCGTTTCTATCATCAACTAATCACACGTACGCGTTTACAATTTCCAGTTTCTTACTGGCCAGTGATTGGATCATCATTATTCTTGGTATCCGGATCGGGATTTTCTCGTATGGACGCACGGCAGCTAACGGTTAGCAGGATCCAGATCCTGCTAACCGTTAGCTGCCGTGTGAGAACATAGCCATATATGATTTATATTACTTTGTCCTCGGTGAAACTTATCCAATAATATTACAATGCTATTTTTATCATACTAACCTGACATGTCTGCTTGCTTATAATGTGATTTGTGTATTTTAAAGTTATTGCAACGCAAATCTGTAATACACTTTCATTTTTGGGGGTTTTTTTTGGTTTTGTGTTGTCGGATGTTAGGATAAAATAAATTTCCAATTTAATCTTAAGAAAATAAAGTTTTTATTATATTAAATAATGCTTCATTTGGGAACAACGGTGAATCTGGTTTTTTTTGTGTGTGTATTTTCCTTCTTTTTTTTTAACAACAATCTTTAGCCATTTTAAGTATATCAGTATATTTAGGAGTTTGATTTGTGTAATGTTGCTTTTTTGTTTGTTTATATATGCATTAATAATTAGTAATTCAAATGTAAGTAAATGTAAGGTACTACAACTTGCATGTGTTATAATTGTTCATAATAATATTTATTGCTATTCATTCAACAGTCATCTACTGATACTGTATATTGAGATATATGTATGTATTAAAAAAAGATGAAATATGGAATATAACAAATTGAATTAAATATGCTGCATGCTTAAAGTCACAGTAACACTCACTAACAAACTTAATTTTTTTATGTGGACAAACGACTGGCTTGCTGTAACTTATTCTCATTTTAGGAAAATAATAATGTACCGTAAGAGAGTGTCTTGTGTGGTACAAATCGAAAGGTTATTATTGTGGCCAATCCCAAAGGGATAGCTTATAAAATAGGATTACTTTTACATCCAAACGTAAGATTAATGTTGTCAGCACCATTAAGAGAAACTAATGTGTAATTTATGGAAAGTTATGTAAACCCCATAGGCCTAGTTATTAAAAAAAACAAAAAAACAGGATAGGCCTTTATTTATTCCAACTGAAATAAAAGTATTACAACTTGTATGTTGGAATGTATTAACCATAGATAATGATAAATATAACAGGCATTATAATGATATAGTATACAGTACCTTTTTAAAGCAACACAATATCACACTGCCCTCAACATTCAAGCTTTAACTTAAGAAATAATGAATGTAACTTAAGCCAGGTATGAAGTATAATTATAGGCCTATCTCTACCATGTCCCTCTCCCCCCGCCCCATATCATTTTCTTGTATTTAAATATCTGACACTTCCCGTTAAATAATGTATGTTCCCTTTTAATATACTGTCTTCTCTCTTTAAATATCCGCCACTTCCCTTTTAAATATTGTCTGTTTTCTTTAAATACTGTCTTCTCTTTAAATATCAACTGCTTTCCTGCAAATATTGTCTCTTTATTTTTAAATACCGCCTTCTTCACTTTAATAATAATAATTTACATTTAAATAGCCCATATTGCGCAGTGCTTCTATGCGCTTTACTTGAAATTATAAAACAAAAAACATGTTGACTATACAGTAATATAATAAAGGTGTGGTGGCAAAACAGCGGTAGGTCTCAAAGGGTCAACCGTCTGCCTCTGCCCTGGCACAATCCGCTCCCCTACCTACCGTAGGTGGCGCAAACAAAGGAGCAGGTTTCACATTTGCCCTATCACAGACGACTGGGTGCTCAGAGTCTGCGACCAAGATAGTGGCCCCAGGAGACAAAGCAGGCCACTCCGTTGAGAGGGAAAAAGAGATACATATTCCTGGTATTAAACAATTATTTTTTTGAAATAAATGGGTTTTAAGTAGCGACTTACTGTAAATGTGTCCAAAACTTTAAATATCATCTGCTTTCCTGTAAATACAGTATTGTCTGTTCCCTTTAAATACCGTTTTCCTCTCGCAAAAAAAAGCTTGCAGTAAGTTTACATCATACTGTACTTGGTTTATTATTAATTAAACAGTTCTACAAACGTTTTCTTCTATTTAAGTATCTGAAACTTCCCTTTAAATATTTTATGTTCACTTAAAATATCAACTGCTTTCCTGTAAATATTGTTTGTTCCCTTTAACCGCAGTCTGCGTTGGTGAGAGATTTGGATTAACTCATCTTCAATAGTAATTGAAGGATCAGCTAAATAATCCACGCATTCTTGTTAAAGCTCTCTTAATCAGTTGGCAAACTGTAGTGTCTAGAGATTTCTGAGAATGTATCTTATTTTGGATGGCTTTAATATCCAGGCTTTTGTCAACATTTTTTTAAGGAAGGGCATTTCTGACAAATATTAGTTAGGGAAATGAAATGCCATTATTATATATAAGGCAGGAAAGTGAAATAAAAAAAAAAAATGACCACACCCAAATTCATAATTCTAGGTAACTACTTTATTTCTTTATTTGTTTAGCAATATTATTAAAGCATTTATTTGATGATTTTTTCTTCCAGCAGTTTGAACACCATTAATATTTTTGTTGTAATTAAATCCGAAAATCCATGATGTTTCCGTGTTTTTAAATTATTCTAATTGCTTGAATCTGCCCATACAGTGTTTAGAAGTACATCAGTATTTATCAAGATAATCTTATGTATATGGTATGTAATGTGTGAATGGTAAAACTATATACTAATTTAACAGATATAAGGTTAAACATTAGTAATATCCAATTGTTAATTGGTGATTCAGACACTGCATATATTGCAGTCTCTCCTTTATAGATCTTGTCTTCATTTCCAGGCCAGCATTTGAGTGACAAAATCCAGGAGTTGATAAAATATAAATATGTAATTTCCTATGCTTATCCCTAGGGAAGAGCTCCAATAGAACCACCCCAGACATAATTTCTTAAGCTTATATTTCCCAACTACAATATCGAGTACTTGCTTGCCCACCTTTCAAAAAATTTCATGTTTAATTTCCTCAAGGCTGGCCCCTTAATGAAGGATTTTTTTTTATAATTACAAATTGTCATTTCCCCTTTGATCTTGAAATAACTTTGTGTATAAGATGTAATTGACGTAGTGTCAAGGTAATACTCTCATATAATGTTGTAAAAAGACCCTTCTTGTAGACTCAATCATCGTGTTGGGGAGGAATTTTTAGAACAGGTGTGAAAATTGGCTTGAACAAGGCAAATTGTTTAATAACCAGTAAATTATGTGAAAGAATTGGAGGTGTATAACTGTGTAGGTAGTTATTTTGTTGAAGTATTGCATGCTTCCGGTCTGTTATCACTGCCACAGCTGATGAGGTACAGGAAGGGTGTATCTTCATGGTGCATCTTCATGGTGCATATTCTAGGTTTATCTTCAACGTGCAATTCTAGGGTCCATCTTCAGGGTGCATCTACAGTATATTGTGCATCTGTAGGGTGCATCTTCAGGATGTTTCTTCAAGGTGTATCTCTAGCGTGTATCTCTAGGTTGTTAAAAGGAAAATGAAAAATTTGTGGTTTCACAGCCATAATCTTTGATTACCCAGTGCTTTATTAATAAGGAGGGGGTGGGGAAGTATCCAATGTAATGATTTAGATGAAAAAGGTCATTATTGTATTATTGATGTTTGAAGAGGTTTAGACAAAATCGCAAAGAATGAACATAGAAGTGGAATTTGTGGCAATGGTAAGAGGTACTCTTTTTTCAATCAGCTGTTTTGTCGACAACAAAAAATCTCAGTGTTTGTGTGTATACCAACTGTTTCCGTAGTCAACATAGTGTTTTCAACAAGAAGGAAGTAAGAAAGAAAATATCAAATGGGTTATTTTTTTTTTTTATGGTAATGTATTGTGTCGGTGGGGTCTCTTCACTTACAGCTGTTCCAGTATTAAAACAATCCTAAATGTGTGTGTGTACAGCATTGTTTATATGTGTCGTTTGGCACATGAAATGCCCCGAGTATTCAGCGGTGCATTGGGTATTATAGCTTCTAATCTACTCGTCGCAGACATGTCTTGGGCGTCTGTCCAACTCCGAGCACGCGTGTAAATTGCTCATAAACTATCCCTGTACTAGTAGCAATACATGACATTTGCTTAAGCTGTTATATTTGCATTAAGAAATATTATACCATTTATGTCTTTGTCATTGCTTCATAATCCAAATGTTAGTATAATATATTAAACATTTTTAAATGTCATTGTATTAATTGTTTGAATGACATTTAATAAATGATTACTTTATTTTTGTGACATTTCAAGTTAGAAGCAATGAAATAAAATTTAATATTATAGAATTATGGCTTTGCTACTGCTACTAACCACAAATGTTATAATCATTCTGCATTTTCAAATGTCATTGCAATATTGTTAAC